ACCCAGGAGTCAGACCCCCTCCTCCCCCAGACCCAGGAGTCAGATCCCCTCCTCCCTCAGATCCAGGAGTCAGATCCCCTCCTCCCCAAGACTCAGGAGTCAGATCCTCCCTCCCCCAGACCCAGGAGTCAGACCCCCTCCTCCCCCAGACCCAGGAGTCAGACCCCTTTTCCCCTAGACCCAGGAGCCAGGCTCCCAGTTGCCTCCTCCTTCAAACCCAGGAGCCCAGGAGTCCGGGACTCCAGTCCCTCTGATCCAAGAGTCAGGCCCTGGACCCCTCCTCCCTCAGAGCCAGGGATTCAGGTCCTCCTCCATCAGGATCCATGAATTAGGCCCCAAGACCCTCCTCCCTCAGAGCCAGAATCCTGGGTCTCAACCACATAGCCTGCTGGGTTGACACACCTTACCTCCTATCAAAGAAACAAGGGGGGGCCAAGGGATGGGAGGGGGCTCTGGCGCCAAGCGGGGCAGGTCTGAGCCAGCCTATCCCTCCCACATTCCAGAAACCTGCCCAGCCCTGTCCCCCCTCATCACCCCTACACACCCAGCCCGCCTCAGTTCCAGGCCTAGCTGCAGCCCACACCCAGGCCCCCCACTTTTGAGGGAGGGTGAGAGACCAGGGACTGAGAGAGATGGAGACTGAGAGAGACTGGGGAGGGGAGGGGAGAGTGAGGACCTGGGGGTGGGTTAGGCCTTGGCCCAGGGCGAGAGCATCCTGGGCAGAGAGGGGACCAGGTGGAGGCGACCAGGAGGGCGGTTTTGTGGGAGAAACTGGCAGCAGGTTTGAGCCCAGGTGGTTGGATGGCTCTCCCCAGAGGAGCACTCAACAGGACAAGGGCAAGCAGCACTGGAGCCTTAGGTGGGACAGAGATCAGAGATGGAAGAGCCCTAGCGGAGAGACTCCTGGGTCAGAGGGAGGAGGGGGCTAGTAGTCTGGACTTCAGTCTGAGGGAAAAGGGGCTGTGGGGCCTGACTCCTGAGTCTGAGGGAGCAAGGATTCAGGACCTGGACTCCTGGGTCTGAGGGAGGGGGAGACTGGATTCTTGGGTCTGAGGGAGGAGGAGGCTGGGGTCCTGGATCTGAGGGAGGAGGGGGCTGGGGTCCTGGATCTGAGAGAGGCTCCACAGTCTGGCTGAGGCCCTGCTCTCTGGCTGTCCGGCAGGTGTCCAGGCGGAGCTGCACGTGACGGTGCCGCCCCTGGTGGAGGTGATGCGAGGAGATCCCGTGAAGCTGGACTGCACGCCGTCGGGAGTCCAAGAGCACTACTTACTGGAATGGTTGCTGGTGAGAACACCCCCCGCCCCAAGCCCCCACCCGATCCATCCCATGGGGGAAAAAATCGAAACCCAGAAAGAACTCCCGGGGAGCTCTGGTTGGGCAGTGGGTTAAGCGTTGGGCTGCATGCGGCCCTGGAGGTCGGCAGTTCAAACCCACCAGCCGTTCCGAGGCTGAAGCGAGGCCGTCGGAATTCCCAGCCTGCCCCAGACTCCCCGAGGAGCAGGCCGGCTCTGCCTTCCAGGCTTGGCTCACTGGGGTCACTCATACCTTTGGGATGAACCCCGCAGGGGGCGGGATCATCCTGGAGGCAAAGGCACCGGCAGCCTTGACAACCCCCCCCCCAGCGGGTGTGGGTCGCACAGTGCTGCAGCATACTGCGTGGGGCAGGGGAGCCCACCACCAAGACTCCTTCCAGACCCTAGGAGAGTTGTTGAGGGAGGGGAGCGGAGTGGAAGGGGCAGAAGGAAAGAACGGAGATGGGGTGCAGAATGAGGAGGTGAGGGTCCCTCATGGGGACGGGGGTGGTGGTGGTGGTGGTGGTGGTGGTGACCGGTAGATCTGGCCTCCCGCAGACAGACCGCTCTGGCACCCGCCACCTCCTGGCCTCGGCCCAGCTGCAGGGCGGCCAGCTACAGAGCACCATGCACAACCCCCGGGGCCGCAGCCCCCCCTACCAGCTGGACCCCCGGGGACGCCTGGTGCTGGCCGAGGCCCAGGTAGCCGATGAGAAGGATTACGTGTGCGTGGTGAAGGCTGGGGCAGCACGCACCGCCGAAGCCACCAGCCGGCTCCGAGTCTTTGGTGAGCCCCCAAGGGCGTCTCGGGGATACGGGGGGGTGTCGTGAGAGAGTTGGCTTGGGGGCTCCTGACAGTCATGTCTTTGCTGCAGCCAAGCCAGAGCCCACAGAGGTAGAGCCCAACAAAGGGATACTATCTGTGATGGAGGACTCTGCCCAGGAGGTATCTCGGGGGGGCCTGGGGCTGCGACTGAGGTGGGGGGGCTGGGTGTTGGGTCTGAGGGAGCTGGGGTTCAGGGGCCTGGGTCTGAGGAGGCTGCACTCCTGGGTCTGAAGGAGGAGGGGCTGGGGGTCCAGGGCCTGGGTCTGAGGGGGACGGGGCTGGGGCCCTGGTTCTGAGAGAGGAGGGAGCTAGACTCTTGGGTGTGATGGAGGAGACACTGGGGTCCAGGGCCCTGGGTCTGAGGAAGGAGGGGCCTGGGAACTGGGACTCCTGCTCCCCAAGTGGGGAGAAGCCTTGGAACCTGGACTCCTGGGAGGAGGGGTCTGGGGGGGCCTAGATTCCCGGAGACTGGAGGGAGGGAGGGGATTGGGGACCTATATTCTCAGACCTGAGCAATGAGGGGTCCCTGGGGGAGGAGTTGGCTGGGGAGGCAGAACCGAGGGTCTGGCTCCGAGCCCAGGGCCATGCCTGTGTCGGCCTCAGATCGCCACCTGCCTCAGTCGGAATGGGAACCCAGTCCCCCAGATCACGTGGTATCGGGACGGGCAGCGCCTGAAGGTGCCCTCGGAGGTGAACCCGGGTGAGTGACGCTGCAGCCCTTGGGGCGGGCCAGAGGGGATGGCCGGGGGTGCCGACTGCCTCTCCTACCTCTGCCAGACGGCTACACGGCCAGCCGGACCACTCGGGAGGCCTCGGGCCTGCAGTCCTTGACCAGCGTGCTCTACCTGCGGCTCCACAAGGCGGACCGGGACGCCAACTTCCACTGCACCGCCCAGTATAGCCAGCCCAAGAACCGCCAGGGCCGCCTGGACAGCCCTGCCTTCAGCCTCACCCTGCACTGTGAGTCCACTCCGGCCTGGCCTCTGACCTCTAGCCTCTGACCTTTCACAGCACCCTGACTCACATACCCGCTGCTCCTCAGCACCCACTTCACACTGCATGGGCTCCCAGGGTGACATCCGGCCTCTCGGCTCCCACTGGCCTGTCACTCACACGGACCTCTGAGCCTGGACCCGCAACTTCCGTTTCTCTCAACCACTGGACCCTGATCTCAAATGACGTCTGAACCTGAACCTGCCACATGTGTGACCTCTCACCTTTGCCCAGCCTTGGCATGGATCTCGCCCCTCTGACCTCCCACCTCCTTTCCTTAGACCCCACGGAGAACGTACAGTTCTGGCTGGCCAGTCCCTCCACCACTGAAGGCTGGGTACGAGAGGGGGACACGGTCCAGATGCTCTGCCGAGGGGACGGGAGCCCCAGCCCTGAGTATACTTTTTTCCACCTGCAGGTGAGTATCTCTCATCTCCTGACCTCTAGCTTCTGACCTTTGACCTGGGTGCCCATCAGCCAACAGGACCTCTCACCTCTGCATCCCTCCCAACTTAGCCTAGATGTCCTGGTGGCACGGTGGGTTAAACGGTGTGCTGCTGCTACCCTAAAGTGACCAGACATCCTGCTTTCGGAGGGACAGTCCCGATTTTTAACAATTTGTCCCGCATCCCTCGGCGTTTTAAAAATGTCCCGACAAGCTAGGGTATACGGTTTTTGGCTGCCATGTGGCTGTTTCGCCAGGATATGGGTTTTATGTCAAAATCTGGTCACCTTACGCTAACCACAAAGTCAGCAGTTCGAACCCACCAGTCGCTTCTTAAGAGAACGATGAGGTTGTCTGCTTCCGTTATGATGGACTGCCTTAGAAACCGTGGGGGCGCTTCTCTGGTCTCCGGGGTTGTGATGAACCAGAGTCCGTTTGGCAATGGGTTTGGTTTGCCTTAGCTGATACCTGCCCTGGTCCCCTGTGGCCTCACGGGACCTGGAGATGAGGCTGTCTACTCCCCTGAAGGGTGACAGTCTCAGAAACCCCCAGGGGCGGTTCCCCTGTCCTCTAGGGGCTGAGTCACAGTCGACTGAATGGCAGTGAGGTTGGTTTTGGGGGGCTTCAACTTGGTATCAGTTTGTCGGTGACTCTTGACCCTAAAGGCTGTCACTCTTGACTTAGGGAAGGAAGGCACCACGTAAGAAAGACCTACCCACATGCTGGTCCGAAAACATAGGCAGCAGTTCTGTTCTGTATCCTATGCAGTCTCCGGGAGCTGGAGGGGTGTTAAACTTGATATAAAAGAAAATAAGATTTTATTCGATTTGATTTTTCCTTCAGATGTTATTTTAAGTAAAATGTACTTTAATTTATTAAAATAAATAAGGGGTTACATTTTTATTTTCATTTATCCTAATATCTGCCCCAGGTGACCCCCCCTGAGCTAGCAGGATCCTCACTCCTGAAATTGAGAGTCCTGGCTTAGCATGATACCTGCTTTGGGTGACCCCTGACCCCTCACTGGAATGGACTCTGGCCTGCCAAGCCCCCTGCCCCTGCCCTGGGAGGCCTGTGACCT